TGACATTTGCTTTCGAGTGTTAGAGAAGTTAAAGTGAATAGAAGAAATGAAAAAGTAAAATAACTGAATAGAAAATTTTGAAGGGCAGCTCAGAAAGAAAAGGTAAAGTATTACAATGAAGTACACAAAGCATCGACTGCAAACATTGAAGAATTCTGTGGGTAAAATATTGAATTAATGCAGAACACATTGAAAGATGATGAAAGGAATACATAGAGCCACCGTACCAAAAAGAAGTGGTTGGTGTTCATCCATTTCAAGAAGCAGCATATGGTCAAGAACTATAGTACTGAAGGAAGAAATACAATCACACTGATGGCAATGGTGAAAAACAAGGTTCCAGGAATGGACAAAATACAAACTGAAATCTTTCAATGAATAAAGCACTATAGGTGCTCACTTGTCTATGCTAAGAAACTTGGGAGACATTTACTTGGCCAACCAATTGGAAGAGATACATTCCAAAGAAACGTGACCCAATGGAATGCAGAAATCATTCAACTGTATCATTAATGCCAAATGCAAGTAAAATTTTGCTGAATGTGATTCATAAATGGTTGTAACATTATATTGGCATGTAACTGCCACAAATTCAACCCGGATGTAAACATCAGATAGAACTTGGCAGAAAGCAAAGAATACCCCCCCCAAAAAAAGTTTAATTGTGCTCTATTGATTTCCTGGTATGGCTCTGTGGGTTAATGTGCCAGACTGCAAAGCCCTTTGAACTGCAAGGTCGGCAGTTCAAGCTCACCAGTTGCACCTTGGGAACCCTATACAGGGTCGCTATGGGTCGGAATCTACTCGACAGCACTTAACAACCATAACAACAATTGACTATGCAAAGATATTCTACTGTGTGAATCATTATAGACTATGAACTACATTGTGAAGAATGAATATTCCAGAACACTTAATTGTGCTCATGAGGAACATGTATCAGGTGTTAGAACACAACAATGGGTTACTGAGTGGTTTAAAGTCAAAAAATGTGTGTGCATCAGCATTGTGTTCTTTCATCATAATTATTCAATCTGTATACTTAGCAGATAATTCAAGAAATGGGATTATATAAAAAAAGACTATGGCCTCAAGGTTGAAGGAAGCATCCTTAACCACCTGTGATATGCAGATGATACAACCTTGCTTGCTTGCAGGAGGTGAAGAGGGCTCAAAATACTTACTGACACATTGCATCTCAATGTAAAGAAAACAAAAGTCCTCACAAATGTACCAGTAAGCATCATGATGAGTGGAGAAAAGACTGAAGTTGTCAAAGACTTCGTTTTGCTTGGATCCACAATCAGCATTATGGAAACAGCAGTCAAGAAATTAAATGATGTATTGCATTTGGTGTCTCTTTCGCAAAAGATATCTTTAAAGTATTAAAAAGAAAACATACCAATTTGAGAAGTAAGGTGCACCAAGAACCAAGCTATGGTCTTTTCAGCAACCTCATATGTATGTAGTAGTTGTTCAATCAGTAGGGAAGACCAAAGAAGAATCGATGCATTTTAATTAAGACATTGGAGAAAACTGTTAGAAGTACCATGGATTAAAAGAAGAGCAAGTAAATCTGTGTTGGAAGAATTCCAGCCTTAATGCACCTTAGAAGCCAGGATGACAAATGTCGTCAAGTTGGTTCCAACTTACAGCGACTCTGCATAGGGTTTCCAAGGAGCAGTTCACACCGACCTTGCAGCCCCGTGTATTAGCCTGCAGTGATACAACAGGATTATATATATATATATTTGTTGTTGTTGTTATGTGCCATCGAGTCGTTTCCGACCCATAGCGACCCTGTATAGGATTTCCAAGGGTGTAAATCTTTACGGGAGTAGAAAGCCTCATCTTTCTCCCGCGGTGCAGCTGGTAGTTTCGAACCGCTGACCTTAAGGTTCGCAGCCCGATTCATAACCACCACGCTACCAGAGCTCCTTATATATATATATATATATAAATATGTGGGAGTGGGGTGACACACTGGACTGTGAACCACAAGGTTGCAAGTTTGAGCCTACCAGCCACTCCTTGAGAGAAAGATGAGACTGGAGCCTTGGCAACCTTGCACATAGTCACTATGAGTCACAACCAACTTGATGGCACTTAAGGAGAAGTAAAAAAAAAACAAAACATTGCTACAAGACCGGGCTTATTGTTCTGTTAGAGACTTGTGGAAAGCCTGAGACTATGGCCCTTAGTCACCTATCAGGCCTAGAACTGAACTCCTCCATGTGGCTCAAGTTTGAATCAGCTTCATATTGTTAGGTGCCATTGAGTGGGCTCTGATTTACAGGGACACAATGTACAACAGAAGGTGCTCTGGTAGTGTAGGGGTTACGAGTCGGACTGCTAACCTCAGGGTCAGTGGTTCGAAACTACCAGCTGTTACGCAGGAGAAAGATGAGGCTTTCTGCTCCCATAAAGATTTACAGCCTCAGAAACCCTGTTCAGGGTCACTATGAGTCGGAACCGACCCCACAGCACATAACAGCAGCAGCAATGTACAGCAGAATGAGCTATTGCCTGATCTGGTACCACCTCTACACTTGCAATTTCTTTTTGAAGTTTTTATTGTGAATCGAGTGATAGTTTACATGGGAGAACACTGATTTTCGACACTTGTTTTTGAACCCATTGTTGCAGTCACTGCCAATCCATCTGATTGAGGATCAAACAACAGACGCCAATCCATCTGATTGTTGTTATTAAGTGCTGTCAAGTTTGTTCTCACATATTATAGACCCTTTAATGGTTATGAATCAGGCTGTGAACTGCAAGGTCAGCAGTTCAAAACTACCAGCTGTTCCACGGGAGAAAGATGAGGCTTTCTGCTCTCATAAAGATTTACAACCTCGGAAACCCTGTACAGGGTTGCTATGAGTTGGAACCGACTCCTCGGCACATCACAACAGAGACAACATAGGGTTTCTGAAGAGTGACTGGTGTGTTTGAATTGCCAATCTTATGGTTACCAGTCCAGTGCTTATCCTACGTAACTTTCCTGAGACTCCGGATAATATTATAAGATGAACAAAATCACTAGAGAGTTCCTTAGAATAATCAAGTGTTTGAGACCAAAATGTCAGCCTTTGCTTAAGGACAAACTTCAGAAGGCAGGGAGGGTTAGGGAAGAAAGAGGAATGAATCTGGAAATACAGTGACTATGTTGGAGAAGTGATTTTACAGTGTTGGATTTGCAGTCAGTGACATGAAACAAAATGTGTATGAAAATGGATTTGCTTTGTAAAGTGCCATTCAATTCACAACAAAAAGATTAAGGGGGGAAAAAAAAGTATGTAGACATAGATGGAAGATATGCCTAGAAACAACTGCCTCACATTTTGATGTCTTTGTTTCATAAAGGTTTCTCTGAATTTACAGCAAAGAAAAGCAATGTCTTGCCACTATGGTTCCAGTTCCTACATGCACAATGTGATGGTTGATGTTTTGTGTCAGCTTGACTGAGATTCAGCGTAATTTGGATCTTCTGCAAGAAGCCACTCTCCTATCCCTTTTCATTTTGATTGTTGAATTAGAATTAATAGTATTAAATAATTGCAATCTCAGAGAGAGAGCACATGTCTTTATCATTTAACATTTTGTAACTGAAGGGTAGAAATGTTCCTTGGAATAAGGATTTGGCACAGTGGCAAAAGTTTGAGCTATGTCTTCATTTATTCTTTCTAGTGTATAAAACCTTGTGCAGTGTTGGTATGTTCCTTATGTGAGTGCAGAACTGAATTTTGAACACCCACATCAACAGGTGCTTATAAAGGCTAAAAATGTGCTTTTAGAAGATTTAAATGTAGAAAATAAAAATAAAGGCATATTATAGAATAGTTCTGGAACAGATTGGTGTAGTTTTCTTAACTCAGGACTTTAATTCAGACTACTGATAGCTTCCTTTTTGGATAATGCAGAGGATAGAAAACTATTTCTCATTTGAATTTGATATGAATTTCTATAAATGCAATCTAAAAATGCAACTAAATGGATTAACCATTGGGAGTACCTTAGGTAGTTCACTAATAATCATACTTAGTTATCTACTTGTTTTAGGCATTGTAAAACAATTTACCATGGGAACTTTCAAATAGTCACTCAATTAGCTTAATAGTTAAAAAGCTTACTAAATCTTCTTTGTCATGAAATAATTCAATGAAAATTAAAACAAATCAATTGACAAGTAATTGCCTCTCACAAAATAACATATGAATGAATGATCACATTTTCCTGATTCCATTATCCTTATATAGTTTTAATTTTAGTTTATAGCAGAAAGAGGATTTAGTACTTTTTTTAAAAGGCTAACATTATGAAGTACCTGCTCTATTAGCAACTTTGAAGACAGTTTTACCTGTAAACCACTAGGTTAGTCTTCATAGCAGCTATACAAGGTGATGGTATTTGTTTCCTATTTATTAGAAATCAAGTTTCTGAGAAATTAAATAATTTGTTGATGGTCATGCAATTACTAGGTGATAAGATATCTGGTATAGCACTATAGGATAAACACTGGACCGAGAGGTCAGTTTGAACCACAAGGTCGATGGTTCAAACTCCACAGTCACACCTTGGAAACCCTATATGAGTCAGAAACTATAGGCGTCAGGAACCTTATGTGAATTAGAACTGATGTGACAGCATTTAACCATGACAATAAAAGATATCTGTGTCTTTCCCTGAAGATTTTCTGATGACATTATGTAATATATTTCCTGTTCTAAGGTTATTTTTGCATTAAATCCCATTCCCTTTGCATGCACAATTTTTTGGGGTATCAAAATATCCAATTCACAACAAAAATAGTGGCAAGAGTCTCAAAAACAACATTTTTTTAACCCAAAGGGTTTGCTCTATATCAGTTTGCATTCAAGTTTATTCAATTGTGAGGTTGTGATTTCATGTTTAAGACCTACTCAGATCTTTCACTTTGACTTTGAAGATGACACTCTTGGATAAAAATATATTCCCTCCTTAATATTTCCTCCCAATAGGTTGTATTGCCCGGACTGTAAGCTCACCAAACCAACACCTGTTGAGAACAGATGATGTCATTAGTTGCTGTTTAGATCTAAGTGCCCCAAGCATCTCCTTCCGAATTAATGGCCAGCCTGTTCAAGGGATGTTTGAGAATTTCAACATTGATGGCCTCTTCTTCCCAGTTGTTAGTTTCTCTGCAGGAATAAAGTGAGTATTTCTATTTTGGGCTCATTTTCTTTGTCACAGCTCGCAGCCCCTGCTCTCCCAGAAGACTGCACTGGAGGCAACTCTTTCTCTAACCTTTGTTTCTCGCTTCTGGGCATCTGTTTGTCCCTTGAAAAAAGAGGTGACGTTCATCCAAGAAGGAACTCTTGGGAGGTGGAGTTGCTGATCCTCAGAGTCTGCCAGGTAGATGTGGGCAACCAGGCGACTCTTTGCAGACTGACATCCTGAAATATTTCAGCACATTGCTCTTTACTTAATGAGGGGAAATGAATAATATTATAAGGCACGCACTTACATTCTTATATCAGTTTTGAGTCCCTCGTTTCACTCCACGTCCTCTTATTCCTAAAGAACAGAAGTGTTGTTGATTGGGCCAGGATGGCTCCTTTCTAAATTACTCTTTGTTACACTTACATCTTCTGACTAACTGATAGAAGATGAAGATTTTCTTTCACTTGTTCATTTTGTGGTATGAACAAAGAGAAATGACAATTAAAATTATAGTTCATTAAAATTCATTCAAAGTAATAAACAACAGGTGGTCTGTTACAAGGAACTGCTCTTGTCCTTTACAAATAGATCCATGCACTAACTAACCTACCACAGAGGAGCGCTGGTGGCATAGTGGGTTACGAGTTGGACTACTAACCACAAGGTCAGTAGTTAGATTGAGGTTTTCTGTTTCCATAAAGATTTATAGGCTCAGAAACCCTGTACAGAATTGGGTCAGATTCGATGGCTCACAACTACTATCACCATACTTAGTCTGTACCCCTGGTATGACATTGTAAGATAAGCACTGGATTTCCAACTGTGAAGTCCATGAATCAAACCCACAAGCTACTTTTTGGAAGCCTTAAACAGGGTCGCTATGAGTCGGCACTGACTTGATGGTACTTACCAGCAATATACTTAGACCAGCCCATGTGATTTTACATGTCTTAACAGTTAGAGCAAATCTGCTCATTCCCTGTGAATTACTGGGCACTCTGGGACATTGAATGACCTGTTACTATGAACATATACTAAATTCCAATGGAAATATGATGCATGACTATTTTTCCAGTGGTTGATAAGTTTCTCTGATACATTAACCAGGATTAATCAAGTTTTCTCTTTTGACAATTAGGATACCCTCACTTTTGCCTTTTATGATTAGATGCTCTTAGATTGTAAGGCAATGCAATAATGATGCTAGGGGATGAAAATGTGACTTCTGGTAAAGTTAATTTTATACTAATAATTTATTTTCAATGTGTGGTTGATTAGGGACATTATGTACGGCAGAATATAACTAATCCTGACATGACTCTGTTTCAGAGTACGCTTTCTGCTTGGCGGGAGACATGGCGAATTTAAATTCCTTCCTCCACCTGGGTATGCACCTTGCTATGAAGCTGTTCTGCCAAAAGAAAAGCTGAAAGTGGAACACAGCAGAGAGTACAAGCAAGAAAGAACATACACACGGGACCTACTGGGCCCCACGGTTTCCTTGACCCAAGCAGCCTTCACGCCGGTTCCTGTGGATACCACCCAGGTACCTGGATGGATTCAAGAATGCCATGTGGTATTGTAGTCATTCTGATAGGCAGTGGCTCTACCCCATTTCAGACTACACCCACAGTAGCACACTTCACTGCAATACAGTTCACTGGCATAACTGAAACAAGTGGTACAAATGATGCTCTAGAAACAAGTGGTACAAACGATGCTCTCAACCCTGTCCTCACACACATTTCTACTCTTGTCTCCTTTTGTAAAGGGCGATCCCAGCCCACTTACATAAATTGACTTCATAATCCACTCATGGGTCACAATCTGAAGTTTTAAAAACACTGCACTGGTTACCTATAAGGTTTTATTAAAATACTTGATATTTACAAAATGTTATTTATATTAATATTATTATTCATATTGTTGTTGGTTTGTGAACCATCAAGTTGATTCTGATTTATGGCAACACTGAATAGGATTTCTGAAGAGCATCTGGTGGGTTTGAACCATAGACCTTGTGGTTAGCAGTCCAGTGCCACACAAGGACTCTATTTTACTTATTTCTAAATGGACAATATTAGCAACCAGTGGAAATAGGTGGGAAAATTATACAAGCAATTTTAAGTTCCAATACATTAACATAATTTAATATCTGGGAAAGAGTTCCATACTTTACATAATGCGTACTGGTGGTGGTGATGGTAGTCATGTGCTGTGGAGTCGGTTCCAAATCATAGCAACCCTGTATCAGATTTCCAAGGCTGAAAATCTTTAGGGGAACAGAAAGCCTCATCTTTCTCCCACAGAGAAGCTGGTAGTTTGGAACTGCTGATTGTGAGATTAGCAGTCTGACTTGTAACAGCTACCCTACCAGAGCTCCTTAATACTACATGTTGTTGTTGTTAAGTACCGTGGAGTCAATTACAACTCACAGTGACACTGCACAGGGTTTCTGAGGCTGTAAATCTTTACGGGAGCAGAAAGCCTCATCTTTCTATCGTGGAACGGCTGTTAATTTCAAACTGCTGACCTTGAGGCTAGCAGCCTGATATGTAACCACTACACTACCAGAGCTCCTTTAATACTACATACTGTTGTTGTTGTTGTTGTTGTTAGGTGTCATTGAGTCGGTACCGACCCATAGTGACCTTATGCCCAGCACAACGAAACTCTGCCCAATCCTGGACAAACCTCACTACTGTTGCCATGCTGGAGTCCATCGATGCTGCCACTTGGCCAATCCCATCTCACTGGGGGTCCTCCTCTTTTTCTCTGACCCTGCACCATAACAAACATGATATCATTCTCCAGCGACTGGTCCCTTCTGACAATATGTCCAAAGTATGAGAGCTGAAGTTTGGCCATCTTGGCCTCCAAGGAGCACTCTGGCTGCAACTCTTCCAAAACAGATCTATTGGTTCTTTTGGAAGCCCATAGCACTTAAAATATTCTCCTCTAACACCATAACACCATAACTCAAATGCATAAATTCTTCTACGATCTTCTTTATTCATCGTCCAGCTTTTGCATGCATATGAGGTTATTGAAAATACCATGGCTTGGGTCAGGCACACCTTAGTCCTCAAGCTGACATCGTTGCTCTTCAACACTTAAAAAGGTCTTGTGCAGCAGATTTGCCTAATGCAATACATCGTTTGATTTCTTGACTGCTGCTTCCTTGAGTGTTGATAGTTGATCAAAGAAGAATGAAGTCCTTGACAACGTCAGTCTTTTCTCCGTTGATATGAATGTTGTTTATTGGTCCAGTGGTGAGGATTTTTGTTTTCTTGACATTGAAATGCAATCCATACTGAAAGCTGTGGTCTTTGATCTTCATCAGTAAATACTTTTTTAAGTCCTCTTCACTTTCAGCAAGCAAGTTTGTATTATCTGCATATTGCTTTAATTTTTTCTTCAGTTCCCCAGCTTGAGAAATGCTGAGTGTTTTCTTCTTTTTGGTTTTCTGATTCCAGATCTTTTCACATTTTGTTGTAATAGTTGGCTTTATTTATCTTCTTGAGCTGATCTTTGAAGTTTTCTGTTCAGCTCTTGGACCTCCTCATTTCTTCCATTTGCTTTAGCATCTCTACGCTGGAGAGCAAGTTTAAGTGTCTCTTCTGACATCCATTTTGACCTTTTCCTTCTTTCTTGTCTTCTCAATGACTTTTTGCTTTCTTCATGTATGATGTAATGTATCAAATCTGTTCTTCAGATGATCTCTAAATTCAGGTCACTAATGTCTAAGATATTGATGTTTATGAGTTCCATTTCATTTTTGACAACTTCCAATTTCCCCAGATCCATACTTCATACATTCCATGTTCCAATTTTCAATGGATGTATGCAGCTGTTTCTCTTCATTTTTGAGTTGTGCCCCATCAGCAAATGAAGATTCTGTGGGCTTTTCTCCCACGAGCTTAACTCCATTCACATCATCCTGGTGAACTCTCCTTTGAGGAGGCAGCTCTTCCCCAGTCGCATTTTGAGTGCCTTCCAACCTGAGGGGCTCATTTTCTAGCGCTATAATCTGACAGTGTTTCTCTGCTATTCACAATGTCTTCCTAGTCTGTCTTCGTCTGGAAGCTTATCTGAAACCTGTCCACCATGGGTGACCCTGCTGGTCTTTAAAATACTGGTGGCATAGCTTTCAGAATCACAGCAACTCACAAGCCACCATAGTACGACAAACTGACAGACGAGTGGTGGAATACTACTACATACTAGAAGTACATATTTAACTGTTGTTGTTAGTGCTTTCATGTCAATTCAGACACATAGCGACTCTGAATACAACAAATAAAACACCGCCTGGCCTTGTGTACTCTTCACAGTCATTGCTGTGTTTCAGCCCAATGTTGCAGCACTATGCCCTTCCACGTCATGGTGGATCTTCCTCTTTTTTTGCTGACTTCCTTTGCTTCACCAAGTCTGGTGTCCTTTTCCAGGGACTGGTTCTTCCTGATAACATGTCCAAAGTTCGTGAGCGATGTTTCACCTTTCTCACTTATAAAGGAGCATTCTGGCTATACTTGCAACACAGATTTGTTCATTCAGTTAGTTGTTGATTTGGTTAATATTCTTCCAGCTCACTGGTTCTGCCGTCCAGCTCTTCTATTCTACTTCTTTGCCCTTTCAGTGTATTGTCTATTTCTTATAGTCTATTATTCATCATTTGTACCTCTTTCTGTCGGTTTTGAATTATTTCCAATCCTGTATCTATCTTAATTGATTGTTCCTGTAGTGGTCTCCTGACTTCTTCCTTCTTTTTCTCAACTTCACTCTAAAGTGTTTTGAAATGTTTTATAACAATTTCTTCTGAATTCCTTCTGAGGCATTTCCAAGGCTTGCCCTCCTTCCAGAATGTAGTCCAGATGTTCCTCTAGGCCATTTTTCTCAGATATTTTATCTTATTTCTGGACATGTGCTGATATGGTCATCTGCTTTGGCTTCTTGGACATGTGTGGCCTTAATAATTAATTGAGTGTGTGTTTTGGTATTTTTTATGCTTTCTGATTGCCTCCCGGTAGATGTGATCAGGATGTGGGCTTCCCTTTTCACTCTTCTTATTGCTTAATTCAGAGTAAGTTTTGCAGGTGTTGTCTGCCTCCCTGGTGTATTGCACTTAGTATTGGTTCTTGCCTAAATTGTGGGGTTTTATAGGGTGTGATTGTAGCTTGAGTATATGGCAGCAATTGCTGTCTCTTCTTGGGTAATATAGGGAGAGAAAGATTCTCCAAAAGGTAACAAAACAAAAACATCAAAAATACAACAACAACAAAAAAAACTAGATTGGATACTGTAGTCTATAATCGCAGAAAATGGAGAGGAGGGAGAAAAAAAAAAATCTGTAGCCTAATATGAGTATGATTTTAATATCCTCTTTCAGCTTCTTGCCTTCAAGACTGCCTGAGAAATATCAAGATGCCATTGTTGGTATTTATGCTGTTTTTCAGGATTTAATTTTGGCCTGTTTTGTTTTTAAACTCTCTGTCCCTCTCCACACTCCCTGGTCTGTCCTTTTCCCTGTTAGTAAACAATTCAGGGCCAGCTATGGCTGTTTTGAGCTGGCAGCCTATACCTTTAAATGCTGAGCATCTCTGTGCACATGCGTGGCAGAAGAACCCACCAGTGGTGGAGGTGGGGGGTGTCCACCCACTGAGGCACCCTTCTCTTGTCACCAGAATGGAGGTGTGCAAACATTGAGGAGCCAATGAATAGATACCAAAAAAACATCAGAACAAAGCAAAACCATCAACATATATTCTCCGCTTTTGCTCCTAGGTTCCCATGGTATTATTTTTCCGCTGATCTGCTTGCTCCCCTGTTCGGTCTTGCCCAATTGTCGACTCTGGGCTGCTGAGCCCTGCAGATTATAAAGTACCAGACTTTTTATTTCTGCTACAACTTCCACTAGCTATAATCCTTCAAACTTTTTAAACATTCCTAGATATGTGGTTCAGGGTCTTGGAGCTCTGCCCTGAACCCACTTTGCCTGGTATTCTGTGGGATTGCTATCGGGGAACTTCACTGCACCTCTACCCTATCCGCCAGCAAGCCCTGTCTCTTTCCATTTATTTTTTCCTCTCTCTGTATTTTTAATGACCTTTTGCTTTAGTCATGTTCAGTCATTAGTGTCCAATGTATCAAATACGTTCATGAGATGGTCTCTGAATTTACTTAAGTTATACTTTGGCTTTTGTATACTTTTAAAAATATTTTGTTTGCTTGTTTGATACTTTAGAGTACCTTTTACAGAGAGTGGGCATGAAGCTTTTAATTTCTTATTATTTTGAAGTGATTTAACTAATCTTTATCTTGAGTAAAAATTTGAATCCTGTGCTCTAGGTCAAAATGTCTATGATCAAATGCCTACTCTAGGACCTTGGGCAATTTATTACCCTGTCAGTGTAGATGCTAATAGTATGTTTGACATAGTAAATTAGTAGATGAACACAATACTTGGGTAAACAACACCAAAGAAATGCTAGACATTATTCTTTTTTATTTCTTCTTTTATTTCATACACATAAAGAGATCCTAAAG